CGTCGATAGTGAGTGGATATAAATGCTTCACTCTCAATCGGGTACCATTAATCAGTGCTTTAGCAGTGTCTAAATTTCTTATGAGCATGACGACCGCGTTGACTTTAAGTTTTAATTTATGAGGAGGTAATCCGCTCAATTCAATGCTATTGAGGAATTCGGTTGGGAAATTCAGTGTCTCCGAAACGTCATCAGTTACAATCTTGTCAAAACTGTAATAAGTCGTGAACTCTCCGGGCATCCTTGACATTATCTTTTCGTTTACAGAATGGCAGAATTCGTTTTTCGTAGAGAGGATTGCTCGGTCTGTTATAGTGTTGCTTGTTATAATGCTGTCAAAGTCATTGTATACTTCGTCAATAATATCTCCTGAGCAGATAACGTTCTGAGGAAGTTCAATTATATCATCGCCGAGATCAGAATGAATTGGATATGTCCCATCACCAATTTGTTTGAGGAAGCTTATAAAGTCAAGCTCAGATGGCAGCGCACGCATGTTTTGCGTAAGCGTGAGCTGTTTGATTCGTGGCCACTCTTCTAAAGATTTCACACATAGCTCAGTTGTAGCTGTTTGCCCAGCGTGGGGTACAACAGGGAGCGTCTGCCTAAAGTCCCCGCATAGGAGAACGGCTTTGCCTCCGAACATTTTTTCGCGATTTTCGGGAACTGATAGGTCACGTAACAAACGGTCGATTGCTTTCAACGCGTAAATCGGACACATTGAGATTTCATCGATTATAATCAATGCTGAGAACTCCTGATTCTATTGGCAACAGCACTATTAGCTTTGATAGATGATACCGATGACTCAGTGACAGGAATAGGCAATTTGAACTGATTGTGTAATGTTCTGCCTCCCACCAGCAAGCTTGCCGCTATGCCACTGAATGTGCACGGTAGACAGTCAAGACATTTTGAACGTAAATAAAACAGCAACGTCTTTTGCACATACGTCTTTCCACAGCCAGCGTGCGCAGTGAGACAGAGCACTTTTTCGCCTTGTCCTTTTTCAATAGCACCAATAACTTCTGTAATGATTGCTTTTTGTTCGTCATTGGCCATGTTGAACATATGATTGAAGCACTCGCCTTGTTCCATTACGTCGTAACTATCTATGTTTGTTGACTGACGGTTCGGAGTTGGAAGCCCTAACTCAGCACAACTTGTGTTGTGAGTGATCAATATATCCTCAATTTCAAGAAGACCCAAATTATACGCTGCTTCAGAGCACATATCACGAAGCAAGTCTTCACACAGATGGTTTTTGAACTGTTCCCATAGTGCGTTGCAATTTGCGGGTATATTAATACCACAAATAACTCCAAAAAGTTGACGCAACTGTCTGGGAGACTGCGATGTTGTCGCTTCGGCAATAGTGTCTTGCCACTGGTCGTCATTACACACAATACCTCTTGCGTTAGCGGCGGCCAAGAATGTTTCGTGAAGTATGCCATCAACTGTAAGAATATCTTCAAAACCCTTCGAACCTTTGACATGTAGTAGCAGGAGACGTAAATTAAAAAGTTCAACATTCTTTGGCGACACATTATAAAGGCGCGTTACGACCTTTTGTCCACCACGCTGCCGTTTACGCCATTCTTTCTTGGTAGAGTCCCATGTGTAATTTTGCGGAATTTCAATGTAGAGTAAATTGTTAGCATCAGAATCTTGTTGGTTAAGTCTGAAAAATGCCTCTAGTTTTGTTTGCTTTTGATTTGCTGCTGCGGCAGCTTCGTTGCCGTTTTGAAAGTATACAGTTTGTTGTTGCGGTAAGTGACAATCAAGACGTTCAATTTTGTGAGATTGGTGACGCATCTCGTATTCGAAAATGCGCCAAGTGGCCTCTGTAGATCCCACATAACGACAACTGACGAAAGAGTCAATTTCATCATATACGATCTGCGCTTGGTCGTCACGACTGAACTGTACGTTGGCGCAATCGTAACCCTTGTATATATATTTATACACATATTTGATTGACCTTACAGAGCTGCAAACTTCAGTGTTGATATGGCAGTTGAACTTTTGCAGGAGAAAAGGGTTATAAGGTACAACAAAGCGGTTGTCAACACTGACCACGAACATCAACAGTAACGCCTTCTATATGTTGCGTACCCATTGTGGTTCTCTTGCGTTGACTCGGAAAATTCTTTTGGGAACTTCTTGCTGCACTGGCCATCTCTCATACAAACTGAATTTGGGTTTAGAGAGCCGCATGGACCGTGTATCATATGGCTTTTAACTTTGTCATGAAGAGAGGGATGTAGCTCAATATCAGGTATTTCTGCAGACACATACTTGTCGATAACATCCACCTCGCGGATACGATCTTCTTCGTCTAAAGTGATGAGGATATGGGCGTGCGGGAGTCCACGCTTTTGGAACTCAATTGTATAAATCAGAGCAGCCACTTTGCCAAAAATTTGATCTTTCGTAATGTTGTCAATAAGTTCATTCAGTTTACAATGAAAGACGCGGACGACTAATTCTGGACAGTAATGTACCGACTCGCCAATTGTTAAGTTGTCAATGATTTCAGGCCACTTCGGGTTGCATGTCATGGTGACGAATAGCGATGGCTTCCCAAATTTTTGCACTATTGCCATTGCATCTAAGTAGTTTTGATTCATATTACGTAGTGAGCCGATGAAAGATGACGGCAAAATGACTTGGCGGCCGATTTGAACATTTTCTTCTCCTGCCCTTCTATTGACAAAGTCGGTTATGTTGAGGTAGAGATCAGCTCGTAATTGTGACTGTTGCTTCCGAATGAACTCTAGTCGTGTGTCTTCTATCCTGACATACATATCCACCAACCATTGCAGATAAAGCTTTTGTGAACGGTGCAAAATGCTGAATGGTTCGCGAATTGCAAGACGGTATGATGCATATTGTAACATGGTTAGCTTTTGACGAACAGCTGTTTGATGGGGGGCATCGTGAGTCAAGTCAATGTGCCATCCAGAATCGCCATGGGGGAACAACAATGGATAAGCCAGTGGGTCAAGGGATGGCTCCAAAACGGAAACTCTTCGAACGCCATGAGACTTGTGCCATATGATAAGGTTGCGCTCGCCAGGTGGTGCACCATCTACAGCTTTAAATATAGCTGCCACATCAGTTTGAACGGCATCGTTGAATCTTCTATGATCGTCGTTTCGGTCTCTCTTCATGAACATACAGATGTCAGTTTCTACGCCATCATTTTCGTCCCGACTTAATTCTGCCATAGTTTTGAATGACTGAACGAAAGGGTTTACATTTTCAAGATACGATGTCAACTCTCTCATCAAGGCTTCATCACACTTTTGGTTGGCAGGCATTCGCATTCGTTGCTGAATGGCAGTGTCAACATCGTAAATGTAAATTTGTGCATACTTAGCAGTTTGCCCAGGTGATGGTGCAAGAGTGCCGACGCGGTGATAGAACGTATCGTGGATTTTGAAGTTGTAGACACCGTTTGTTAAGGATTCGTCTAGTTTAGCTTCAGAGCTGATCATGGCAAGAGCAGCGTTATAAGAGCGAATGTGTTTGAGGTAATTTTGTGATTTCTTGCGAATAGAAGCATTCGGATGATGAATGTTTTCGATTAGCTCTTGAATGAATTGTGACGGTATAAATGGTGGCAAAGATACTTTACCCTTGTGGCAACACAGGGAAAAATTAGAAGCATTCCTGTCGGTCTTCTCCTTCTCAAAATGCCTCGCTGTACAGGCATCACAGGTCATTGACAGAGGTCCAATTGAGAAAGAAAAGTCATTTTGGGGCAGCGTTAGGGCGCATTTGTAACCTAATAGTTGAGGTTGTCCAGGTTCATGTGTTGACTGTGATGAGTTAAGTCTGTTACGCGCCACTGTTCTGTAGCTGCGGTCGTCATCACGATTACGCCTCCTGTCTATGTTTCGTTGTCGTCGCGTCGGAGGCATTTAAAAGAAAAAACAACAAATAAACAAATTATAGCTCCACAAAACAACGATAAATGGACAAATTTAGGTAATTATCATGTTAACACGATCCGTTACAAAACAACATCCGTAAAAAGACACAACATCCGTCATAGCGACACAAAACAACGAAAAATACACACATTTAAGATACAACCATACCAACACGATCCGTCTTGGGGGTTATGTTTACACAAACTCAAATTGTAAATAAACGTACTCAATGCGTTTTATTGAATTGAATAAATAACAGCAATTAAACTAAACAGCTGATCAAAATGTAAACAATTATATTCTCCATAAGGATAACATGGGAACTTTCAAAGCCACTGGGGCAGAGCCCAAGGGACTTTTTCAAAAATGTAAGGTCAGTTTGCAAATCTACGCGACACGCTCTTTCCAATGAGACGTCAATGGATAAAATCGGTTAAGAAATGGCAGAGGAGTTCAACCGACAAACTTTCGTGTAGCGTATTAATTATATAGATAGGACATGAGAGCTAAAATTTTACAAGGAGGTGTACCTGCGTACAAAACCAATAAGTAACTTACCTAGACTGTGTAGCCTAGGCTGAACATTGACTGATTTTTGTGAAATGTGGTATTAAATCAACCGGTATTTTTAGATAAATCAAAAAATCCAAAATTTTACATTGTTTAATTCGTGATTACAATACTTAAGAGAATTATTTGTTGTTATTAGGCTTCCTAGTCCCCTAAACTTAGTCCTTTAGTGTGGACTAGGTAGAACAAGGGGCCGGCCGCCGCACTGGTAATAAATACAAAGCAAGGATTTAGGACCCCTTGGATTTATTGGCCTTTCCAAAATTCTAGCCTATAATCTTTTAAATACTTTAGGATAAAAGTTTAGCCAAAACAGATTTAATGATAGGATGATGGGTCTAGTTAGAAATGTTATCCAAACCATGTTGGTTATCTAAAAATCCATTTCCATCACTCCAAAAATCCATGTCCAAAAATGTGATCCATCATCAATCCCTTGTCAATGCAATCATGTATTTATAGGCTATTTAAACCCTTAAATGCTAATATTAGTCAACGAGGGCATGTTCTACCTCATTACCGCTAATCCATGACAAGGAGTTCCAGTATACACACAACAGCTCTCGTCTCACAAGAGTTCAAAGACAGTTTTACGAGGACAATGGATATATTGTCATAAAGAAGTTGGTCAATGATGATATTCTCGACCAATGCAGGTTTGTGCTTTGATTTTGGATTTTTCTTTTAGTGAAGATGATTGGGAACAGATCAAAGCCAGATTGATAATGAATAGTATTTTTTGTATCATCGTTTAAAACTTAAGGAAGAAAGATTTTCTTATATTATCAAAAAATTGTGAGTAGGCCTATATTATTGAATGTTTGGTGTTGAAATGAAATAGTACTTTACGTGTAGGCTTTTTACTAAAAATTCTTTCTTACTTTTAAAAACTGTTCTTCTGAATACATTCAAGCAATAATCGTAGACAAGAAACAAACTATGAACACGTCATGCTCATGGTTGGGGTCGCAACCATATGTGTGAGATTAAACTTAGCTGAAATAATATTGAAGCAAAGTCCCTTGTTGGCATGGTGTGATAAATGGTGTCCATTAATAATCATTGGACACAAAAACAGCATAGTACAAAAATGTTTTATTAACAGAATCAATCGTAAAAAGATCAATCTATAATCTATTAATCTATTAAAATAATAGATTAATCTATTTAATCTCTATTTTATCTATTTATTTTTAATCTATTTAAATAACATTAGGTTTAACAAATACAGTACCTAGGTTTGCTGCTACAAGGAGGGTCCTAAAATGTGTTTTTAGTAAAATATTAATAGCTTAGGATAAAATAAATAAATTTGACTACCTATATCTATTATATGTTATATCAAAATAGGAATAATCAGTATTTACTACTGTACTGTAAATTTTAAAATTTTGAAAATTGAGGTGATTGGATTGTTTATTGGTTCTAGAGGAACATTATCAAAATTTTGTGTGAACTTTTGGAAACAATATGATTTGGACGGATCCTTTTTGAAAATTATTATTCATGACACATTAAGAGGTTCATTGACCATAATGAGAAATCATCTATATGGCAAACATCAAAATTAGTCAGTCTTATAGCTGTATAATCCTTCGATATTTTATGTGTACTATTTTTCTGTGTCATTGGCAACCTTATTTTTTAAGGCAGAGGTATTTATTTTTATAAATTCTTTTCTCTCTAATACATTAAATTCGGTTGTTATACACCTTTGAGGTTCATAGAGTTGCAATGCATTTTCACACACACACAGGGATCACTTTGTGGATGTTTGCACTGGGTGGAGCCCGGCTGGTGGAATGTTTCTGATGAAAGAACCGACCCTGCTAAAGGCTGGTGCCACTGGGGAACATCTCATTTATAAAGTACAAGATCTGCTCTACGATGAAGTCTTCTCACTGTACACCTCCTTACCAGAGGTAATTGTGACTAGTTTTCTTCAAGGAAAGGCAAGGATGTCAGAAAAAAGAGGATAGCAGCTAGCTTACCGGTACCTTAGAAGAAGTAGGCTACTGGTAGAGAAAGAAAGTTCACAAATTCCCTACACTTAACAAAGCTCCCCCTGGGAAAGAAATGTTTGTTTTGTGTGCCTTCTGTGGCATACGTCCCTATTTCTTCTAAGAGCTGCTATCCCCCTTTATTCTACAATTTGAAATAGTAGCTTTACTGATAGGCATGCTTTATGTGTGATCCCAAAATAAAAATAACCTTTATCTTAATGCAGAACATTTTTTCTTAATCAGTGTTTTTTTTAGGCTTTTTCATTTTATGTCTTCACAGTACATCGATATTTAGCCAAAATAAAATCCAAAGAGAAAAATCTATCTCCTCCTCTAAACTAGTGTTATAGGTAGCAACAGGTGTTGTGTGCAATCCCTATTTAACTCACTAAAGTCGTAAACTTCCACCCAAACTGGGCACTGTTTTAGCTATGGACCGGCTAAGACACATTAGTAAGCATAATATGGATTGCCCACATACAGGAAACGAACCTGCACAGTGCAAAGTTGGGTTAGCTGCAAAGTTACTACACTGTGAAATGCTATGACAAGCTACTCTAGTAACACCTTCTTTTATATAAGATTAAAAGTGGTCTTAGAAATTGATAATTTTTTTCTAAATGTATAAGAATGATCATTGGCATAATTATAATATCTGCGCCGCAGCAAACCTGCAGGACTAAGCAAACTTACATGCCTGATTTGATTTTCACTTAAATCTGTTTAAAAAAATATATTTAGGTTTAGCAAGTGCATAGGTTTGCTGCTCCGGGGAGGGTATTAAAGTGTAGTTTTAGTAAAATATTAATAGCTTAGTATAAAATAAATAAATTTGTCAAGTTCGATCAAAATATATCCATAAACAAGCAAACTATAACAGTTTTCTTATTCTCCATAAGAATAACATGGGAATTTTAAATTTGTAAATTTTCTTCTAAACCAATAATTGTACAAAACACGTCAATATACTAAATTATTAATTTGTTTAAGTTCTTCAAAATTGTTTAGAGAGAAATAGGAAATTTTATGTTTTGAGAGTAAAAAATTAGAAAACCCTACACAAAACCTCTTTCACATGGTCCGTTCATGCCGGTTCACAAACTCGTTTGAATAAATTTGTGTTTTCATTATCAACTCATGTATTTTCAAAATACAAGTTATGACTGCTAGAAGATAAAAATACCTTTAAAATCAGATACAATCACAATAAATCATCTCTTAAATCTGATTTGTTGGTTAAAATTATATTTAGTTAACCGTATTTGTTATGTTTGCTAGTTGCTGGACTACATTCAATGTTTTACCGGGCCAAACATAACAGCAATTCACTCCATGCTGATCAACAAGCCGCCAGACGCAGAACACACTACGATTCACCCTTTACATCAGGTATCTTCTTTGTACTCTTCCATAAAGTATTCTGGAAATGAAAAACACTGATGATTTTCAGAAATTTCAACTGTTTAATATTTTGGCTAAGTACAGTAGAATCTCGATAACAAGACTCTTATGGGGATTATTAAATAAGACTTGTTATCAAGGTTGACTTCTTAGTGAGGTTGGCAGAAACATGTGATAAAGGGTACAAAAAATTCAAGGGGATTTGAAAATTACACTTGTAATGTTACTAAACTGATAAGTTAGTACCATAGCTTTTTGATGGTTTGAAACTAGACCCAGCTTTTCCTAATCATTGGGCTTCAAATAAATGGTCCTGGATAATAAAACAGCTGGTCTTGGTAAATAGTAAGTGAGACACTATTTTTTATGAGGGCTTTATTAATATTTTTATATGGGTCTAATCATGACTACTTTTGCATTCACAGGACCTGCTCTACTTCCCATTCAGGCCGGCCAACCTAATAGTCGGAGCGTGGACAGCCATGGAACAGATAGATGAGGAAAATGGTTGTCTTATCGTTTGTCCTGGCTCTCATAGGCTCAACCAGTTGTACCAACATGGCACAGAATCATTCCAGGTAATTTTCAACTACGGCTCTATCACACTAGGCAATTTTACAATAAGCCAGCGAGTAAAGAAGCAGACTTGACGGAAAATAAGACATTCAACACCCACTACTGTAGTGACATTCCTACACATAATCAAGACTAATCCTACTTGTTGCTCGTGCATGCAACTAGTTCGTTCAAAATCTGACCTTTAAGTCACTGGCAGAGCCAACTTTTGTTTAATGTATAATACAATTAATTAAAAACTGCAGTTAGAAAGGATTTTCTGGAAAAGGCAACCTCACTATTTAAGTACAAATTGCATTTTGACAATCATAAAACATTTAACATTTTGTTGGGAAAACGAGGAAAATTTAAAGCACTTAAGTGTGATAGGTTTTGTTTATTTCAGAACATATCAATTGTATTTTGAGATTAGTAAATATATTTTAGAAAACATCAAATGAATGTCAGTTGTATTTTAGAAGGCAACAAATGAATTTAAGAGCAGTGAATTCTAGAAATAGTGAAATGTACCTATTTGAGAACTTGTGATATGATAAAGAAATAAATATTCACCTGTTTATTCTCAATTTCTCAAATAAAAAACCGTCATCTGCACATTGTAGTTTTATCAAATACAAGTAGGCCTAAAGATTCTCAAAAACAATTAATAACTTCCCGAATAAATGTGGAAAAGGTGTAGTTTTTAACTTTTAAAATTCATTTTCAGATAGGGCCATACAAGACATTCTACGGTGTGAAGAGCCAACAAAAGGAGCCTCCGGTTCCCCTCCGCATGGAGAAAGGGGACACTGTTTTTCTCCATCCACTCCTTATACATGGATCAGGACCAAACCGATCAAAGGTAAGTTATTTTTGTTTGAAACTAGTTCTATTTTAAAGGAATGCCAATTGGCTTGTAAGGAACTATTTGAGAAGGGATAGAGCTCTACTAGCTTACCTGAGAAAATTATAGTCCAGAGGCTACTAGATACACTAAAGAAACCCAGTGGCAGTAATTTGGCCAAGCTTGACCCAATACAATTATAAGCTAGCTAACCTCTATTCCTTTTGTAATAATTCCTTTTTCCTTTGTATCCTACTTATGGTTATAAAACATGGTTCATTGTAGGTTTTTTGGTTAAGTTAGTTATTTAGCAAAATAATAAATAGTAAACATATTCCATTCATAATTTTCTTTTCACCACACTATGATGTTTTTAATTGATTTACAAACGTTAATTGGTGGCTTAAGGTTTTGCTGGCTATGCCAGCTGTCATCGTCATTTGGAGCAGGTTTTTACATCCCTAGGGCAGCAAAATCAGCTGCCCGCTTACTTTCTTAAAACATAAATGCATGTTAAATACACAATCAGTATCCATAGTATTGCAATAGAATTGTTTTACTGTAAACGCTGCCTAGCAACTATTTATTATTATATTTGCTGACTCCGCAAATTATTTCTTCATATAATCTTAGGGCCCTTTCACACGAGGCCACTGGTGGCGGACACCGGTGTCCGCCACCAGTTACCGGCCAGGAAACTGCAGTGGATGGTACAGGCAACTTACAAGCCACTCTACTACAGCCACTGTACTGGTAGTTGTGAAAATGCTGTCGAACAATGAACATCTCCTTCTTCTTGCGTTGATAATAAAGAAAATAAGGCAAAGGCACAGGCGTACTATACCGAATAGCCGGTTACTTTTCAATTTCGCAAATTAGATCATCAGTATCCACTTTGTTTTCTATTATTTTGTTTATTCTCTTCTTCTGTTGTTTTCCTTTGTCTTTTTCTTTTTCAGCAACGTCCTTTTTATTTTTCTTCTGATCACTCATTTTCACAAACAAACAATTCAACACGAAAACACTCAACAACTACAACCATAGTGCGTTTGTCTTTGCAGTCTGCACGTGAACTGATTCAAAATAGTAGCTGCGTGCTCTCATCCACGGTGGCGGCCACTGGTTGCTACGTGTGAAAGCTCCCATATAATTCAATGCCCCGCGACGAGTTGCCGCCACTGCAGTTGCCGGCGGTGGCCGACTAGCAGTTGCGCGAGAAGACACTGCTCGGCCACTGTGTAGTGGCGGGCAACTACAGTGGCTGTGTGTGAAAGGTCCCATTTAAAATAATGTTAAAGCTGTGGCGGGCAACCAGTGGCGGCCACCGGTGGCGGCCACCAGTGGCCTCGTGTGAAAGGGCCCTTAAAGTTGTAGCATTTACTATTGGATACGGAAGTTGTATTAATAGTCTAAGGTTGTAGTAGTGTTGACTATCAGTGTGTATTACTATTGTGTTGAATAGTGGTAATAGGGTAAAGTGTGGTGAAAAATTGTGTTTGTACCACACAACCAAAATGGTTTTGTAGCTCTGCTAGCTTACCTGGTAGACAGAGTCCAGATTAGCTTTTGTAACACACACAAAACACATAACACAAATCAGTAAAACTTAAATATTCGTCCCTGTTTAAGTTTTACTGTTTGGTGTTACCGTATGTGTTTTATGTGTGTTACTAAAGCTAATCTGGACTCTATCTACCAGGTAAGATAGCTTATCCCTATCCTTGTAAATAATAATCCTAATCAGCCAATTGGCTTTTCCTTAATTTCTAACTGGTATAGAACAGTTATTTATCTATTATTTAGATACTTTAGGCTACTCCAGTTTTTCAAAGTTAAAAAGTTTTTTTTTTCAAATAAATAGCTTTGAAACAACTCTTGAATTAAAATACCCCCGCCGCAGCAAACCTGCCGACTAAGCGAATTTCCATTTGTCTGAATTGATTTCCAGTTAAATATATTTTAATAACATTAGGTTTAACGAGTACCTAGGTTTACTGCTACAAGGAAACTAATAAAGTGTGTTTTTGAGTAAAATATTGATAGCTTAGTACAAAATAAATAAATTTGTTAAGTTTGATCAAAATATATCCATAAACAAGCAAACTACAACATTTGACAATATTCTCCATAAGAATAACATGGGAATTTTAAATTTACAATTTTTTTAATTTTCTCCGTTACTAATAATCGAACAAAAATACTTTTGTATACTAAATTATTTGTTTTTTTAAGCTCTTTAAAAAGGTCTAAAGAGAAATCGGGAAATTTTGTGTTTTGAGGGTCAAAAGTGAGAAAAACCAATTTTTACCCCAATAAACCCCCCGTAAAGCCCCGTTCCCATGGTCCGATCTTGCTGGTTCCCGAACTCATTCAAGTTTATCCCGCTTTACACCTTTAAACCAAATTTCATCAAAATCGGACAAAAATTACTCAAGTTATCGCGTTCACGGACGTATATATATATATATATATATATATATATATGTCTATATATATATATATACATATATAAAAATTTGAACGAATGGTGTTTTTGGCCTCTGGGGACATCAAAATGAAAAAGTAAATCGGTCTCGGGTCTAGGTCTTACCGTGCCACCTACGGTAATAGCTACTTCCCTATAGGGAAATTCGCTAATAATATTTTTCTTGAGTACCATGTGTTAATAAGCAACTAATAATATTCTATCCCCAACTAAACTGTTTTAGCGGTTCCGCAAAGCAATATCGTGTCATTATGCTGCATCTGAATGCCAAGTGGTTGATGTGAAAAACACACCTCAGGAACAAATCGCCAAAGAGCTTGAAGCCACTGGTGAAAGAAAGCATTCAGTATCACTGGATTTCCAAGTAGGTATAAATTGGGAAAGTAATGTTAACCTGTAAAAATATTTGTGAAAACTTGGAGTTGGTAGTATTTTGGCCAGTATCTGTTAAACTCTTCCATCAGACATGACCTTCGTGAAACCTTCTCAATTTTGAATAAATACCTTCAAGCTAAAATTGTTGACCCAAAGTAAAATTTTTGAAGGTGGGGGGAGTCTGAGACCTGCGACAGTGCCAGGTTAGTGAAAATTCCAAGCTACTAATGCTCTCGACTCTGTGGGACAGGCTAAAATACCTTAAAACATTATAATAGCTATTTAGATTTTGAGACCACTGCTATATTATTGAACTATTGTGTCCGATTAGCAGGCTTTTGACTGTAAAGTACACGTAAAGTAAACTGTTGAATAATTCATTGTTACTTAATATCCTACACTCATCTCCATTCATACTTGGCTTAAAATACCTACTTTGTATGGTCGCCGCCATTTGCAATATGAATAAAGTTATTTTGATTGATTGATTAATTTCATTGAAAAGTATTAAAGTATTAAATTTTTGTTTCCAGTCCATCATGAAATTGCGCAGCGTTGTTGTGAGAGGATCTGAGGGCTTCACAAACAATTAAAAACTACTGCGGCTTCTTCTTTCCTAGACTATTTTTATGTTAGCTTAGGAAAATTTATTATAACGCCTTTTATATGCTGGTCCAATGAAAATTTACATTTATATTGAATTTAATTATCGATGAATAGACAAATTTAAGTCACAAAGACCATAACCACATGTTATAAGTTTTCTCGCTTGTTTTTTAAAGCGGTCCAGGGTTTACTAAATTTACTCAAATCCTAGGACATAAGCTATTTACACGTTTCTTAAGGCTAGGCCTAGAAGGTTGCGGCATTTATCATGACTTAGATTGGCGGGAATTAAACCTGGGACCTTGGGGGCTAAACCACTACACCAGGTCGCTCTCTGAGTTTACTACAATAGTAAATGTATTTTATTGTTTTAGTGTTGAGATGAGGTGGCTCTCAATAATATTTAAATAGTACCTGACATTAGGAGATAACATTGATATCCACAATAATGACTAAATTTAAGGGACCAAATGCAATATTCTTTCACTCTAGTATTGTTTATATTCTCTTTATTGTGATGGTGCATTGTTACTTTTATATTGTTATCAATTGTTATTTTTGTATAAAATGAAACAAATTTTATTTTTATTAAACGGTTGCTTTATTTTCCCAAATACTACTTAAAAACTATTGATGTAATTTACAGATAATTGCAGTACAATAAACCTGTATAAACATGTTGAATGTATAAACCTTAAAGGTCCCTCAGTCTTGAGCGCAGACAGTTTTCACGATGGTTTCAACATCTGCCATACCTCCAGGACCAACATCTCCACACATTAGGGTTTTTGAGACACAAGGGATCTCCCTGTAACAATATTTAACTTCTCTGTTGGGGTTCAAAAACACAAAGAGCAACACAACAACCTGTGACATCAAATACATGTTAAAAAAGGGCCATAATTGGAATCTAACAGGCCAGCGGCGGATCACATAAAGTAGCCCCTCAATTTTTTCCCTACCCTAGTGGCAATTTCATTCAAATCAAAGTTAGTTTTAACGCTTTTAAGGAAAAGCGGTACAAATTTGTGGGTGTGCCGGGTATTGAACTTGTCCATCCCTCCCGCACCGAAGTCCGAGACGCTAACAACTAGGCTAGCAAGTAGTAACACACCCAAATTTTTTAGCCGTTTCCTCGACCCGAGCTAGTTGAGTCACATCTGGTAGATTGGATTACAGTCCAACCTCGGTATAACGAATCTGAAGGGACCGAACTAAATATTCGTTATATCAAGGATTTCGTTAAAACGAGGTTCGTTATATTGAGGTTAGGTTTGCAGGAATTTCGCTAAGTCGAGGTTCAGAACCAGCATCAGTCAATATAGGTCGGGATTGGACCTCAATGGCCTCATTAAAACACAATTAAAGTAGCATAGGCTACAATACTTTACAGTGAACAGTGTTTACATTTTAAAGTAGAACCTCGATTATCCGGGGTACTAAAGGGAAGGGATCTTTAACATTGCGCAATCATGCCATTTCTAGTTATTGACCTTGGTACAGGTTACGGTTACAAACTGTATGTTTAAAATCACAGGTTACTCTAACCCACCTAAAACCTAGCCAAATACTGTATTTTATAGCAATAAACCACGTAAAGAACAAAACGAAACAGTTTAGAGTTTTGTAAGCTACTGCCCGTGATAGGCCGGTAGGCTACAGTACTGCTTTAAATCACAACAGAGGAATGTCAGTACTGTAATAATCATCAACTATAGCATTGGTGTTGCCTTAGTTTAAACAAATCATATTGAAAATAATAAAAATATTAGATAAGTCGTTATAAAAGTGTATAATTATAGCCAACTTAAAGATAATAAAAACACTCGTAAAAGGAATGTTAAGGTAACGATGTTGCTATTCTTTCTCTTTGCTTTGTTCTTCTATTTGTTTTTCTTTCTAAGGTTTCTCTTCATCCAAAAATTGTACAATTCACCATATTTACTTATCACCCAATCACAGCTTACTACACATTACGTCGTCATCAGTCCTCATTGAATGAAATCAGTTCAGTTCTCAGTTGTAACATATAGCGCGAATGCAGCGATGACAGCAGACGGGCCGGGATGTGTAAAACGGAGCAGACAAATGTTAGCGCAAGCGTTGACGTCACCTTTCCATTTCATTTTATGAAGAAACTGATTTTTCAAAAACAATAATGGTGGTTGGGGGGGGGGTTCGTTGTACGAGGGAGAGACGCAGACAATTCGTTACGTAGAGGTTAAATTCGCTATGTAGAGGTTCTGACAATGATAAATTCGTTATATTGAGGTGTCTTAGTTTTATCCGGGATCATGAAAAATTCGTTAAATCAAGGTCGTTGATATGGTTTGTTTGTTATGTAGAGGTAAAATATACATTGTGTCTTATGGAGAGTTCTAGGGGATTTAAAAAAATTCGTTATATCAAGGAATTCGTTATATTGAGGTTCGTTATATCAAGGTTAGACTGTATTACTATTCTGATTCATCGGCAGTTGGAACCTAGGGGTTAAGAAATACTAGTGGTCTTGCTTCAACTCAATGAGCTTGACCTTTTCTTTTTGGCAAATCGACAAAAAGACTCTTGGATGGGCGACTAGCTAATAAATTATATTACAATTTTTGATACAGTAAACCTTCGACAGTTCGACACTCGTTGTAGCTCGTCACGGGCTGAGCTATTTTGTCAAGTGATATTTAATGGTTACTATTGTGGTGTAAGCTGACTGGAACATTATTTTTTTATTTAATAATGACTTGAGACTAAGCTAATGAACAGTGAAATTGTTAAGTTTTTTAGTATAATAAATTTGGGTGATTTTTATATAACACTTGTGTTATACTTTCCTGTAGGCTATATCTAACTCCGTTTACTCCCTATAGTCGACATTTCAATAGTCCGACTTCCCTTCCACCATCGACCTAGAAGTCCACAAAGTATCAAATGTCAAACTACTAAGGTTCTACTGTAATAATATTAGGCAATACTATTTTCTCTGGGCAATCCTATTTAAATATGTGTTGGGTAAAAAATGTTGACCTTTGAGTCTCAGGGCGAAATTGGGTAGCTTTGAATATCTTTCGCATTCGTGGAAGGATTAAGAACTTCTCCTACACTCACGGCGAAAAAGTAATCATCCTGTCTGGTCGTGGGGACACTATCTTCGTCCCTACAATCAAGGCGACATCAGGATTGTTATTGCAGAGACATCTTCTATGACTCCTAAGATCATACCAAAACTCTGAACATCTTCCGCATTTACAGAGACATAACCTTCGTCTCCCGTGGTTGCGATGAAATCATGAACATCTACTCACGCTTGTGGAGGAATCGTGAACATCTCCTACGTTCAAAGCAAAATAGAGATGATCTTTTGCGATTATGGAAACTTCTTTATCGACTCCCGCGATCGTGGCAAAATCATTCAACTGCACAATCCTCAGGTGCTTTCGGCTATTGCGAGGATAAAAACTGGTTACAAAAATGAGGCCTGTAAACAGATTATCAGTAAAATTAATTTTTCTAAAGAAAAGCATCATTTGAGGTCTTAAGTGTAGGTCCCCTCCCAGCCCGAGGCCCCCCCGCCTAGACTACTGTCATAAGTCATACAAAGTTTTAAAAAACACGCTCTCCCGTTATATTTTTTCATTCATTCTTGAAAGGAGTAATAAAGCACACACTCCTTTCAAGTGCAAGTAGTGTAAGTTACCTGTATCCCCAGGACTTGAGTTGTGACACTTGCACTGATGTCACAGGGTGATTCCACATTCTTGTGTTCATCGCTGGACAGAAATACAACGGCTTCTGCAGATCCCAAGCTCTTGCAGTGCAAGTCAATAGATTATCACACAGTCCCTGTAAGAGAATAACCATCAATTAAATGGAATATCAGGATTTACTATCCTAGGAAGAGAGTCTGGACTCAAATTCCGCCGGGTTAGCGTCGTCTGTTTTCTTAACTGATCAGTTACCTGATACCGTGTGTACAACAACGTTGGATTGCTTAATAGCAGGTATTTGAACCTTTTTTAAAGGAACTAAGGTTAATTTTGGACTTTGCAAGACAAATTACAGGGAATCCAGACTTATAACTTACTAAGGTTGAAAATTAACTGTATGATAAAATAGCTTACCTAAATACCTATCATTATTATCATCAGCTGAAGTAAACCATTTTTTTTCTGCTGCCACAGTATTCTATCTTGAATAATACAATATTTAGTGTTACTGGTGAAATAATGTTGTCTTAAAAATAAATTTAGGCCTAAAAAACGCACGGCCACAGCTTAACAATGTCCCAGGTTCAGTGGCAGTGGTCGGCTGCAAGATAGCACGGGTCTCTGGTATCGCTACAACCTTGTAGTGTGAAGCTCTCTTGCAATTCTTTACACTTGTAAAAAATATTCCCGCATGGTTTGTACCATGTGGTAAACCATACGGTGAAAACCATATACTCAGCCACTCATTATTGTGGATGATTTGAGAATCTACTGTACACCTTTAGTTGCTTCTGAAGAAAATATTATTACTAGGCCAGGTAATATATAACTAAATCCTATCCAAAAGACTTTTGATTTCATAAGCTCCATAACTTACATTGGACATTTTCGCAAGAGTGTTGGCATCTAGTGGTGCAATAACGAAGACATCAGCCCACCGCCCCAGCTCAATGTGAAGCACACGGTCTCCTCGGGTCTGCCAAGCAGTCCACTCGTCTTCATCAACGTGAACTTTCACTTCAGCGGAAATATCCGGTAAAGAGACAAAGTGACGAGCATGTTGTGTCAATACGACTTCTACTTCACAGTTATTGTCTTTAAAACACTTAATTAATAATGGAAGTTTAATTGTCGCTACACTTCCACAACAACCAATCAAAACTTTTCTTCTATCCATCTTGAAAGAAATAAACCTGGTTAGTTTAATCAGTTCCTGACACTTTTCCTTGATTACTCAATTCTATGTCACTGAGTCCTAGTTTAGCCCAATCCTCTTTGGCCATGAGATTGTTTTCCATTCTGCATTGCAAGTAGGCTTTGATTTGTTCACGACATTCAGAATTGTTGTTTCTATGATCATTCAAGCAAAACATGTATTTTAACATGACACCTTTACACTGACCCTCATGGTCTAAGGGAAAACTCCCTTTGTCTGGAGGACTCGGAGTAAAGACTTTGTTTGAAAAAGTAAAGGATGACATTCGGATGGAGTTAGATGAACATTTTATGAAGTCACCATAAATCTGAAAAAGAGTTAAATTTTTGTTTGAAATATGTTGTAACTTCTTTAAGACTGTACAATCTATCTATATATTAATAGGCAAGCATGTTTCTTTAAAACCTTTTTTCTCAGCTCGTGTGTATCGTAGGGAAAATCTACGCATACCGTTAGAAAGCTATTTTCCTGTAGGTGTGCAGAATACCTTTATAAATTAAAATAGGCTCAAAAATAAGCACAAAAAATGAATTTGAAATTTTTAAAAATTAACATGGGTCTTATGGGTTGCTATGGTGATGGCGAAATAACAACAAAATATAAACAGAAAATCAAAACAAATGGAAGACATTCCAATCACATGTTTTATTTACAGTGTGGGTTGAAAATAGAGAAGTTTGCACAAAACATGCTCTCGTATTTCATTAATATAAATTTTTACTATCATATGTTTTTCTATTGTTTTTGTTTTGTAAACATTCATGAAATAGATTTTGTGTTAAGTGGATATGCGTGTTTCTATTAATTATTTTATAATTAATTAGAGACAAAGCTAGATATGCCCCATCAAGTGCCAGGCTCGTGTGTATGTTAATTTTATTATCATAAGTAGGAAAACTAATAATTTTGAATAGAGTAAATAAACTACCAACATAGATAGTTCGACAGGTAACCTGTGTTCTATCCATACAAGGCTCTTAAATTTACCTTTTTTATTTCCCAGCTTAATTAATTAACTATGGGCAGCTACTAAAATAACAATGCATTCATGAACGATAAATAGCAAAATAGCCAACTCTATATCATCGATGCCTATTTCCAATAAACAAGCCAGCTTCACTTTTTTCTCCCAACATCGACCGACAGATTACTAGCACTTTTTGTTAACCCTCCGAGTGTCCCTTGTTTTGGCCTTAATGTCTGCCTATTTTTTGCTCATTTGCAAGGTTTTATTAAAACGGATATGAGAAGCTTGAAAACAATGTTAATTATACTGTTCTATATACCATTTTATTTGGAAAATCATGGGCTTCAATATTATACATAAAACATAAGGAACATTTGTTTCAAAAAATTTTTTTAGGTAAAAAAAAATATTTTGGAAAATTAAAAAAAAAAATAAGTTTGCGCTCAATGAAATTGTATAAATTATAGGCCTATAAATATTTGAAAATAGCCACTTTGTTCTAAATTTTATGAGGATTACAAATATATAATAATATAAGGAAGTAGATTTGCAAATAAATTAAGTTATGGGCAAAAAACAGATTTCAGTACATAGCGTTTAGCTAAGAATGCATAGCCTAACCATAGCTAGGAATCTGGCTGATAATTTACATCAATATCACTACCTACTTCTTCAGGATCATCAAACAGCCCTTCAAAATCACTTAAATCTTCTTATAATGCACCACGTATATCACTACTTTTGATTTTTAACACTAAAACAATGATAAATGTAATAAAACACATCAGTCATCGGTGCGAGGTTAACCAAGCTATTTACAAATACGCACGTCAGCTGTCTGCTCCAATATTTTCAGAACTAAAATGAAAAGGCTTAGAGACAGACCTCCGGAGAAAGCTCTGAATCTGCCAAATAAAACGATACCTAACTCGATCCAGTTCAATCCGATTTTGTCAGTCATCGAGCCTTCGCCGTAAACAGTGTTTGTGAGTCGATGCATCGACACAAAACACTACACAAAGTGTGTTATGTGTCGAAGCATCGACAAATAACACTCGGAGGGTTAACTTTACTTAGGGTTACTTTACACTCGCATTGCAATAAATTGAACCAACATGGCCTTACGCCCTTCGAAAGTCCGTTCAATTTTAATTACTTGGTCAACAATAGCATTCAATAGTTAGCTCCTGCGTTCCCTCGAATGGCTAAGATACCAAAGTTGAACTTCCCGATTACCACCTATTTATTAATATATTATCTTTCCTTCTCACTAAATCTATAATGAATACTTTTGTCTAGTTATTTCACAATATTAAATGATTCATTACCTAACTGATTGAGAGTGAACAATAATCTATTTAATTTGGGTTTTAGTTTATTTTAAAATATAACCTATTTATGTTAGAGGAGAACTGAACTATATTTATTTTAATTTAAATGTATTTATACATTAATGGCAACACTTGATTTACAAAACTAGACATGGGAAAATTGAAATTGCCATATTGGTTTATTTACACCATATTGCTATAAAGAATAATTCGAATAATTCTAAGTATTTGATTTGAATTCTCGAAAGTATTCGATTATCCCATCACTACTTCTTAGTAGTTTACGTCATAGGCCTACATTGCTACTTACTCACATAAGTTACTGCAGTTTGGTTAAGAAGGTTAGGTTTAGTTTAGAATTCATAGATTCATTATATAATCAGCTGGTAGTTAATGTATAACGTATTAGGACGTAAACTAAAGTGCAACCGTGTGTTAATATAATAACATATAATTTTTAAAACAATAAACTATTTTTAGAGCCTAAAGCCAACTAACTACTTAATATAAATGCTGGTTAGAACCGTCTCAATAATATCATATTATTAACTTACTACTATTACTATACTATTAGAGTTGCTCACTAATAAGAGGATGGTTATAAAAAAATCTCAATCCCCAGAGAGAAATTTTAGGATAAATTAGAAACATCAACAAACAACATGACATAACCTTATTTAAATACGAAAATACAGTCTGCTCTGCTGTCTGCTGTCTGCTCTATTATTTTGTTGTTTTTCAGCTGGTTCTTTTCCATATACATACACAATTCGCTCAGTGTTGCCTACTACTTGAGGCGCGATGCGTGAAAAATAAAATCCCTTGTCAAAAATTCCATGAAAAACCCCACAGCAAACTGATTTTCTTTTGTATTGGTCCAATATCTTTTTTGATGAGTGATAAATAAATCTTCAAACTTCAAAGATTGTCATCCTTACGAAGTTAAATTGATCTTTAAAGTTACATTTATTTCATAGTTAAAGACGACTGAGACGAGCTGTTGGCCCGTCCTATCCTACGTGCACGATTTTTATTTCAGCTGCAGTTTTTTAATACGGACAAAATGAGAGTTTAAAAATTAGAAATTAAAAAAAAATTATTGTAGACCTAAAACTAAAAAAATATATAGTTAATTTTTTAATTAAACTGTCATAACCTAACCTAACTAACCAAACTTGCTGATAATGACAAAATTGAATGAAGGTTTACTAATAGAAAAAATAATTCTGTTCATAAAATAAAACTATAAATGCCTCAAATTAAATTTCATATTTTTAGCGAATTTCCCTATAGGGAAGTAGCTATTACCGTAGGTCTCATGGTAAGACTTAGGCCCGGGACCGATTTACTTTTTCATTTTGATGTCCCCAGAGGCCAAAAACACCATTCGTTCAAAATTTTATATATATATATATATAGATTTATATATATATGTGTCCGTGAACACGATAACTTGAGTAATTTTTATCCGATTTTGATGAAATTTGGTTTGAAGGTGTAATGCGGGATAAACTTGAATGAGTTCGCGATCCAGCATGATCGGACCATGGGAACAGGGTTTTATGGGGTAAAAATTGGTTTTTCTCACTTTTGACCCTCAAAACACAAAATTTCCCAATTTTTCTCTAATCCTTCTTAAAGAGCTTAAAAAAACAAACAATTCAGTATGTCAAAGTGTTTTTGTACGGTTATTGGTTACGGAGAAAACTAAAAAAATTGTAAATTTAAAATTCCCATGTTATTCTTATGGAGAATATTGTAACATGTTGTGGTTTGCTTGATTATGGATATCTTTTGATCAAACTTTGGCAAATATATTCATTTTCTACTAAGCAATAATTATTTTACTTAAAACACACACTTTATTAGTTTCCTTGTAGCAGCAAACCTAGGTACTCGTTAAACCTAATGTTATTTAAATAGATCGATTGAAAATCAATTCAGCCAAATGGAAATTCGCTTAGACGGCAGGTTTGCTGCGGCGGGGGTATTTAATTATCAAATTAAACTGTGATAACCTAACCAAACTTGCTGATAATGAAAAAATTGAATGAAGGTTTACTAATCAAGATTGGTTGATTTTATAAGGTTTTAATTATAAAATTTAACTGTTATAACCTAACAAAACTAACCAAACTTGCTGATAATGCAAAAATCTTAGACAAAAAGTTTGTGCCCCTGATGGGTTTCGAACCTTTCGTAGCCCGGCACGCTATTCACTAGACCACCGAGGCCGATGGCTTCATTCCGTTTCATTGCGCTAATGGTGTTCCCTCAGCCAATATAATGCTCTCATTTTGTTCTTATAAAAATAACTGCAGCTGAAATAAAAATTGTGCATCCTACGTACGGGATATGTGCCAACATCTTACATAGGTCCTCTTCATCGCAGTCGTAGAGACTGGAGAATCGTCATTTAAGTTACTTCTTTCTCTTCTTATAATAGCCCTATGTGGTAGTTATGATCTTCATAGCACTCTTTGATGGTGTAGTACGGTCTTTGAAGGAGGTAGGTTTTTTAGTGCAGCAGTGAATTTTTTTGTGTTGTTTATTGTTTTGAGATGTTGTGGAAGTAGGTTGTAGAGCTTTGCTCCCATTGCAGTGGGGGTTTTGTTGGTTTTGTTTAATCTGTTTTGTTGGGTGTTATAGTTCGATTTTGATCTGGTGTTGTGGTTGTGGCATGTTTGTCTGGTTTCAGGCGGATTTTGTTTTATGAAATTGATGGTGTCAAATATGTATTGAGATGTTAGGGTTAGGATTTGGTGTTTTATGAAAAAGGGCTTGCAGTGTTCGAGGTATTGGGATTGGTCTATGATTCTGGCTGCTTTCTTTTGAATGATTTGTATTTCTTTTAATAGGCTTTCGCTGGCACTTCCCCATGCAATTAAGCCGAATTTCAGGTGTGAAGACAAGATTCCATGGTAAGCCATCTTAGTAGTTTCTTCGTTGGTGATTTCCCTGATTCTTCTGAGGGCATAGATAGCTGATGAGGGTTTTCGCTGGAGCCTTTCCAAGTGGGGGTGCCAGTTTAGTTGCTGGTCAAGAATGATGCCAAGGAATTTGGTTGTGGGGTTGGCATTTGTTGTGTCTTCTTGAGTTAGAGGTTTGTTTGTTGGGGTGAATTTCAGGCAGACAGTTTTAGATTCGTCGATTCGGAGATTTAGGCTATTGCAGATTTTTTTGCTGTGTCTATTGTTTTTTCTGTTAGATTAGGTGTTGGTATGCCCGGAACTACAATGGTCGTGTCGTCGGCAAACATTATACATGTATTGTCTGCTGGTAGGAGGGTGGGGAAGGTGTCTATGTAGATCAGAAAGAGTAGGGGTCCTAGAACTGAGCCTTGAGGTATGCCTTGAGTGATGGTTTGCAGTTTTGATCTGGATTTGGTAATGAAGTTTCCACTTTGGTGTTCAATTTCAATGAGTTGTTGTCTATTGTAGAGGTAGCTTTTTATCCAATCTAGAGCTTTGTTTTTGATGTTTAGGGCTGATGTTTTTTGGAGAAGTAGGTTATGGTCTAGGCTGTCAAACGCTTTTTGGAGATCTAGAAACAGATATGGAAGTGTACGCCGGGAATTGAGTAGTCAACCAAAACTGAAGTTATGTCAATAATTCCAATTCTTTTAAAGTCAATGAACTATGAAACCCCTAATCTTTAATCGAAACCTCAAACCACAGACAATATAATACTGTAATTTGATTTCCGTAGTCTGTGCTTAAACTCTTAGGCTGTGGGAGAGAAGAAGAAAAGTATTCTCTAAGTTAAGTTTGTTTTGTGTTTGTTTACTGTTTTTAATAGTGTATACAAATTTGTCTGCTAGGTACTGTTTTTTTAATTATCATAGAGGATACGCGTCCGGTAACCGGACGTGGATAAGGCGTACGGCAATGACGTCATGGGGTTGCGGGAGCCTGGAACGCCTTTACCACAACAATACAACGTTCAGCCATCGGTGGTCGTGGTGTAGTGGGTAAGGTGCTCGGCTGATATGCAAGAGGCCCAGGGTTCGAATCTCATTGATGACTTTAACTTTTTGTCGAAGAGTTTGCATTGAATACCATTTATTCTTAACTGTACATCTTTTATTAGAATTTTTGGCATTTATAATTTTTTTATAGAGAAAGAATTTAACCTTAATTAGATTTTTTCATTATCAGCAAGTTTGGTTGGTTAGGTTAGGTTATGACAGTAATTGCCGGACGTCTAATCCACGTACGGTTACCGGACGTGTATCCTCTGCCTTTAATTATACTGTTTGTTAACTCTTTTAGATTTTTTATTCGTTTTATAACTTGTTTAGTATGATTATTTGTTCTTCAAAAATGTTACTTTGTTAGCAAATGTGGATTGTGGTAATTATTCCTTTCAACCTGCGCTTGCGCTGTCATCTGTTACCTGAAGCAGCAGGCTATCCTAGCTAGGCCTTTAACTAAAATAGCCTACGTTTCTGGCAATGTACTTATCTTATTTCACATATCATAAAATAAAATGTAGTGTAGTGTCATGTACGCTTGTAGTGAGGATGGGATTACCACCTGTCACAAGGCGTGGACAACCCGCGCGTCATAAGTTAGGCCTAGTCCTAGTCTATTTTGAATTTAGTTTACCTCAGAAAGCAATGGCAGAGTACAAGTTATTGTTGAGAGTAGGTAGTGAAGTTATAACTTAAGTTCAGCTTTTAGGCCTAGCCACATTCACGTTTAAGTTGACAAGTTGAGATAGTCACGTAGGCTACTCACATGAACCAATTATAAACAGAAAAAAATGCGTTTGGGATAACATCTAGAGAGCACATATCTGTGCTCTCTGATAACATCCCCCAAAGTCTTAGCAGACAATAAGAAATTTGTAATTTTTTTTAATTTTACAAATTAACTTCTTTTAGTCCAAATCCCGGGAATAGCTAAGTTATTGATTCAAATCCTGTTTGCTGTTGCATTCCTTAAAACTCTATCTTTGTATTCTTTCCAACTTGCATTGTAGGCCTACAGACAGTGACCGTTCCACAGTGTACAACTTCAGGAACTTCATAGTTTAAGTTTATTGTCTTGCAATTTCACTACACTTGTTCCCGATGGCTAGGACATAGCACACCACTACACAAGTACCAAAAAAAAAAACCAACAGAAATGCAAAAATACAAGCTCTTCATGACTGAAAATTAGTTTAATCCCAAGCGTGGCAGTCCTTGAACTCTCCCCATCCCTGATTACGTCGGAGGTAAACGTACTAAGTATGTGTCGTTCCCACGGAGCCTATTTCACTAATGTGTGGTTGGTTATTCCTTCTTCCCTCGCATCTTCATTTTGTTGTAGGCCTTTTTACTGATATCCAAGACATATCAGATACGATGAGCACATACAATCATCCTGCAAAATCAAGTGTGACATTTAACAGAACCTGTAAAATATCCTGGCTTCCTAAGGGAAAACTTGTGTGTTGTCCTACTTGCAAGTCAAAAGCCTAATCAGATCTAAGTCAGTTCAACTCATGTCTTGATAAAAAATCGTAGGGAAAGGAAAACATGCCTACAGTATACAAGACAATCAATTTTAATTTATACTAATTTTATTGTAATCAAAATTATTATTTTTGCAGGTCAGTGATTGATTTAACTTAGTTTTAACAAGATGAAGACAGCTACAACTCACAATGACTTGAAGACAAAAGTGCTACTTTTCGCTATCAGCTCTCGTGTTTTTATTATTTTCCTATCATGGATTTCCAACGTAGTTTTACCAGACCATGATGCTGGAGTCTACATCTTCCCACAGCCAACTACTATCAACATATCTTTTGCCGATGAAATCATTAACAACGTATTTGGAGGCTTAGTGAGATGGGATGCTCAATACTTTCTTCACATTGCACACTACGGCTACACCTATGAAAATACACTTGTATTTTTTCCAATGTTTCCATTCTTTGCTAGAATTCTCGCAAATGTTTTAGATGTCATTTTAAATGGTGTATTGAATCACTACTCAACAGTATTACTGTCTGCTTTGACAATTAACTTTTATTTCTTTGTGAGTGCATCAATCAAGCTCTTCGAGCTTTCGTGTAAAGTACTAAAAGATGAGTCGCTCGCGTATAAATCTGCATTATTTTTCTGTGTGAACCCAGCCAGTATATTTTTCACTGCTCCGTATTCAGAAAGTTGTTTTGCCTTTTTCACTTTCTCGGGTATGCTGTTTTGTGTAGAAAATGAAAGAGACTTGTTGTCTAGTTTTGCATTGGGTTTGTCAAGCTGTGCTCGTTCTAACGGTGTATTGAATTTAGGATATATTGCTCATAAATGTATAAAACGTGCCTTTAATATTTTACAAGTACTAAAATATCAATTTAACTTTTCTTCATTCTATACTATGATCGTTGAACTATGCAAATTATGCATTTGCACCATAGTATTTATTGCTCCATTTATTATGTTCCAAGGATATGCTTACATGACTTTTTGCAAGAGCAAAGTAAATATACCAGAATTTTTGAATGAGTTTGGAAAATCAAAAGGATTTGTGACTCCATCTTCAGATTCGCCACCATGGTGTAACCACAAAATACCTTTCTCGTACTCATACGTACAAAACCATTATTGGCATGTCGGTTTTCTTAAATACTATCAAATTAAGCAAATTCCAAATTTTGTACTAGCATCGCCTGTAATATTTTTAATTTTGAGGCACTCATATCTTTTCATGCTTGAAAACACCTCTATTCTGTTTTCTTTAGGTTTAAAAAGTCCATACCGTGTTAATTATCAACAACAAGAGTTGACACCTGAATTCTTTGTCTTTGTCGTCCACACTGTGTTTTTGACAATATTCTGCATGTTTTTTGTCCATGTTCAAGTAACAACGAGGATGATTGCCTCTTCTTGCCCAGTGCTTTACTGGTTTGTGGCTTTACGTTACAAGACTGAAAGTGGCACTAAAAGTGATGTGATTTCCAGTAGACTGAAGACAAGTGGCTCCAACAACTATAGCTTAGTAGAGACAAAAGAAAACATAGCTAGTGTTTGGAGAACTGTTATTTTAACAGATAAACCGGTTAATATTTGGTCTCATTGTATCAGAATGTATTTTTATTCATATTTTATTATAGGCACCGTTATATTTAGTAATTTCCTTCCATGGACTTAGTTTGAATAGGCTATTCAAAGTCATAAAGTGATACGGTATGAAAAGAGCAATATTTTTTTATTGATCTCAATATTTATAAAAAATATATCACCAAATGTATTCTATCAATCAATAGATGAATTCATATTTATAATAATCTGAATATTTTCTGTTTATAATCTTTCCTTATCCTACCTGGGTTTTTGATACTTTAACTTTATTTTTAATATCTTATTGCTATTCTATCTTCGTACTTTAAAGAGATAAGTAAGAATAGTTATAACTTTCTCTCTGTTGTTCTTACTAATAGATATGAACTGCTTGCATTAGTACCTTTAATGGTACGTCCTTAGTACTGCTCCAAAAATGAGCGGTTTAAATTTGTTCTAATTAGGCCTATTAGTAACTTTTGGTTTGGGACAGGATATAGTCGAGGGTTATTATACTTCTTGTTTTAATAAAAATTCTTTATTAAATTAAGCTTAAAGATAAACAATTAAGAACACCATACTCACACTAAATCTAATAATCACTAGAAGGGGGAGCGAGCTGGTCAAGGTAACAACACGGGACTTAAGTCCCTGAGGTCGAGGGTTCAAATCCCGCAGAATCACCAATGGATGTTATCTTTGTGAATGCCGCAACCCCTAGGTCTAGCCTGAAGTAATGAAAAACAATCCCAGGCTCGTGCCTAGCGTCTTAGGGCAAAAAATAATCACTTGAAAGTTCGTAGTTTAAAATATAATTCTTTTATTTTTTATTTACTTTTTAAAAAATTAATACTTTCATACTTGTAAAACATTTTTGAGTTCCTCGAAGCAGCAAAGTTGGGTACTTATTGAGCACAATCTTGTTTATTTTAGGTTTGGGTATACAATTTTTTAAAGCATAAAATTTAATAAAGCGGCAGGAAATTGGGTAGCTTAAGTTGCTGCAATGGGGGTATGAGAAAATATACAGGGTTATTGCTGATCACTGCTGCAGGTTTGCACTTGCAGAGATAAGGCATAGCATAATCTCTTTTTATCTTCTCTGTAAGAGCTGTCAACTGAATAGCAATCTTAACAACTTTGATGTTATGAATGAGTAAATATTTTAATTTCTAAATAATTGTTGCTAGGTAATTAAAATGTGATTGCAGTGAGGTGAATCACTGCGTGTTGGATTATTCAAAGGAAATTTCCAAAATGCCGAAACAGAAGAAGCTTATTTCTCTTAACAAATTGTTACTTATTTGCATCACTCTATTAGGATGGTGCCGCTGTTCTGAGGATGCTTGGAATGTTCTTATAATTTTAGGTAAATGCATTTAAAATTGCAATTTTATTCATAGTTAGATACTCAGTCCAACAATTTTGTTACGTGGGTAGATTAAGTATTCTCTTTGTGGTATGGAGGAAGTTATAAAAGACATTTAGCAAAATCTGGGGACCTACACCTGTTCCAGTCAGAAACTCCGTGTCTGGAAATGTAGACCGGTGACAATATTTTTTTTGCTTGGTGGAAAATTCATGTACAGTATAAAAAAAATAAATGGCAACTTATTCACTTTTATTTAGGGCTTTTGATTGGCTCATTAACAAAAAAAATTATTTCCGCCAGAAAAATGGTGGGTTGTTCAAAGTATAATATTACTGTTGAACAAAAATGTTTTCATACTATCAAAAATAGAATATTTTGTTCTATAAGAAGTTGAATTAAAAATAGAGTAAGTATGTAATTAATAGCATAGGCACCACAGCTACCAATGCCATCATAGCTTAAAAGCTATCAATAACGTCTTGCAGCGTTTTCCCGTTACTATCCCGAAATGTTTTACTTCATTCTCTAGGTTAAGATTACTATTGACAACTGAGAAAATTGGTCAAACCACCATTTTCGTTAATTGTCTCTAAGTCTGAAGTTAAAATGCTAAAATATTTATTCCAGCCGATGATGGGGGTTTTGAAATGAAAACGTATTAAAATAACGTCATACGAATCCCCAATCTGGATGCATTGGCAAAAAGAAGCCTCATCTTCAACAATTCTTACACATCTGTAAGCAGCTGCTCTCCTAGGTACTGGTAAATTTTATGTGCAATAGTTAACTTTTGGTGATATATATAATTGCATTTAATTAATAACGTTATAAACTATTATTCTAAACAACACTGAAGCTCTGCCAGCTTGAGATACTTGCCACTACAGTGTAGATGTCCAATGTCCAAATCAATTAAGACTGCATCGTAAATCTCATCATTGTAGATCTGTATAGTAAAAAATTCAGCTAATTAGGTGTTTAAAGAAAATCAATCCTTTTGACGATCCAGATGATCAGGCCTAAATTTTAAATACAGTAACCTATGATCCATGTTATTTAATGTTATAAGAATGGGGAATTTTATACAAATTAATTAGTAAAGGTTAAATATTCAGATACTAGCAGAGTACCCGTCCTTCGTACGGGGTTGACATATAAGTTTAAACTACTTATTGCAGTTATACTCAAGCTTTGCGTTTGTAATGGGGGAGGACACAGTTTGATAAAATTCGCTTCTCTAAATTTACGGTATACTATGGTACCGGTATTACACATATACCATAGCCATAATGTTCTACCACTCAGGGCCGTCCGAAGGGGGGGGCAACCGGGGCAAGCTGCACCCGGCGCCGTGGCTGAGGGGGCGCCGCGCAGTGACTATTTGTATTAACATAGTATTAAAATATATGAATGTGACTATTACTCATGGGGGGGAGGGGGCGCCGCCAACCCTAGGGACCACTGCTACCACTTTACCTAAACAACAGAGAAAAATAATTTATTAATAATTCGCAAAACATCACAAATTATTCATGGAATTAAAAACATAAACATAACCGTAAACAATCCTACTTTGACAGTTCTCATTGCGTTTCACAGTTTTTTTGTTGCTGCTTAGTTTAAATTAGCTGTTTTCATAAATGCAAAAAACAATTAAAAGTGCTGTTTGTAAATTTGCTGTTTACCCTGTTGGTAAATCTTATAACTTTTTATTAGCGAATTTCCCATATAGGGAATAAGCTATTACCGTAGGTCTCATGGTAAGACCTAGACCCGGGACCGATTTACTTTTTCGTTTTGAGGTCCCCAGAGACCAAAAACACCATCCGTTCAAATTCATATATATATATATTTATATATGTGTCCGTTAGCGCGATAACTTGAGCAGAAATGATCCGATTTTGATGAAATTTGGTATAAACGTGTAAACCTACGTTTATTCGAACGAGTTCGCGAACCAGCATAATCGGACCATGGGAACAGTGGTTTTATGGGGTAAAAATGGGTTTTTCCCATTTTTTACCCTAAAAACAAAAAAATTTGCAATTTCTTTCTCAACCATTTTGTAGAGCTTAAAAAAAGAAATAATTTAGTATATTGAAGCGCTGTTGTATGCCTAAGGGTCATGGAGAAAATTTAAAAAAATGTGTAATTTAAAATTCCCATGTTATTCTTATGGGGAAAATGAAAACTGTTGTAGTTTACTTGTTTATGGATATATATTGATAAAATTTGGCAAATTTATTTATTTCATCCTATACTGTTGACATATGGTCAAAAAACACTTTTTACCTTCCCCGTAGCAGCAAACCTAAGCACTTGTTAAATCTAATGTTATTTAAATTTGGAATAAATATGTCTTATTTATGGAAATATTTTAGTAAAAATGTAATCAGACAAGTTGAAATTCGCTTAGTCTGCAGGTTTGCTGCGGCGGGGGTATTTAATGATTTTGCATATCATAGAACCAACTTTTTTAGTTGAAACAGCTGACTAAATGTTATACTCATAAGGTTAACATTGGGAATTACAGAGCTACTGGGGCGAAGCCCGAAAAGATTTTTGAGATAAGAATATGCCTACAGTATATGTTAATCGGGAATGTGAGCTATCATTACGCCAAATTTCAACCCAATCCGTCCAGTAGTTAATGCGTGACTGAACTTCAAAAAAACTTTCACTTATAATATTAGTAAGATTAAACAAACAATTATTTAAACGATGAGAACTACCTAAATGCGGGTTTTCCTTAATCGCCGATTCTCAAATACGGCTGTGGAATTATGAATGTCATGCAAGTCTTTCAAGCACTGAATTTTTCTTGCCAAATTCACAAAATCACAAGTGAATAATTTGTATACAATAATTTTAATTACCAAGTTTAAGAGTCTTTTGTTGATAAAATGTCCAATACATCCCATTAAAAATTCTTTGAGGTGCCAGCACTTTAAATAGTAAGTTTTTCCAATTTTCTTGTGTACTTTTGGCTTAAAACTCTGTAGACAGTGTCGCACAGGAATATTTCCAGTAAACATAGTTTTTCCAACAGCAGGTCAGCCTTATTGACTGGACTACCCTCACATCAGAATGGCATGTACGGACTGCACAACGGAGTACACAACTTTGACTCATTGAAAACCTCCAAGAGTTTACCGAACATTCTTTCGGAACATGGAATCAGGACAGGTGAACATAAGTTTGGGTGCTTTAATTTTATTATTTTTATGAGAGTGATTCCCCCCTTCAAACATTACTTTAATACGAGGTTTGTTCGTAAATTAAAGTCTCCGTCAAGCATCTGACGCATCTAGTTCAAGTCTGAGGTCAATATAAAATTCCTTATTCCATCACTGTTTATACCTAGCAAATCCGGAACATTTTTGCCGAAAAAAAATCTCTACTATTCCAGTTGTTTTCCACCCTGATAGGACGATTAAATTCGTTATAGCATTGAGTATACACGTACGTTAATTTACAAACATATTTAAAAAAAATTGCCTCTCCCGCCAAGTAAGAATCAGCGAATGATTAGACGTGCCCATCCACCTTCACCCACTACCTTTCCAAGGACAATTGCGGTGTTTTGACCGTCTTGGCATCAGTTGGCCCTGAGCTACGAGGAGGGTATAAAGCTAGGTGCGTCATGTTTCAAAACGATGAAGAACAGGCCAGCGATTGACTGATTGGTTTTCAACACAACGTATTCAATTTGAAATATTTGTAATTATTTTGA